TCCCCCTGCTTGTGCTCTCTTTCTTTCTGTCAAATAAATAAATAAAATCTTTAAAAAAAAAAAAAAAAGAAAGAAAGAAGGAAACTGCTATATAAAAGGAAAAAAATGTGGACATGTTTGCAACAACCACAACCAGTCAACCTGGGTATCTAATGCTTACAAGTTTTAATTTCTCTGGCATGGAAAACCTCCATTTCTCCATGGAAAACCTCCCATACAGAGCATTCACCAAAAAACTCCACTAAAGGTCTCTAATGATTGCAAATTCAGCCCATGTTGCCCAGCCCTTTCTGAAACGTTTGCTGAGCAGTAATACCGTTGCTTGCTAAACGTTTTGTCATGAAATACTAATGGTCACTTCCTAGCATTCCCTCACTGCATGTCATAAAAGCCTAATAACCCGCAAGCCACAAACAAAGCCTCAGGAACATACAACAGGCCTCTCATCAAGGTAATTTTGCCTCCAAACACAAATTCTCAGCCCAGGTTGAATCCAGCCCCAGTGGGCAAAGAGGCCCAGGGTTACTACAAAAGTCATTAGACCTGACTACCAAGGACCAGGCCAAGCCACACCTCACAAATTAGTTATGGACATGATTCCTGTATTGTTTAGTTCTGAGTGCCCCGGATGGCCACACTGTGTGAAGGCTGAGGTCTTGGGGAAGAGGATGGTGAGCAAGGTCTGCCTTGCATACAAGAATAGGATATGGTTCTTGACCTCAGGCATCTCAACAACGTGGTGCCACTGAGAACTGCAGTGGGCCTTCAGAGATAAGAAGGCTCTTGATAGGCCAGAGTTGTCAAGGTGGGCCTCAGGGTAATGCAGGATTTAAAATAAGTCTTGAAAGAAGAGGAGAGAGGTTGTCAGATGGGGGGGAAACAAGAGCACAGAAAGAGAGATGGGCGTGGTGAAGAACAGTTAAGGCTGGCTAGCCTGGAATAAAAAGCTCCATTGGCAGAGAAGGGCAGGAGATAAGTTGGATAAATAATATGAACCAGATACAGATGCTTTGATTGCCTATTTGGTAGAGTCTTAGTTTAACAAGGAATCTTCTTATGATCTTGACAAGAGAGAGAATGAGGAAAGTGTTGTGTGAGGAAGATTAAATTGGTAACACTGAATTACAGGACACTAAATTATAGGAGAAAAGAAATGAAAGCAGGGATATTAGTTAAGAGATCATTAGATAATCTAGGAGTAGTCCAGATAAATTAGGACAGAAAACAGAAAGAGGAAGGGGCATATACCAGAGAAATTATAAAAGAAAGATTTCAATGTCCACTTCATATTAAGCTACATCCCAGAGTTCAATTCCAGGGCAAACTGTCCATTCCCTGTGGGCTGTGGAACATCTCGCCAAGAGGGCTAATTCTATCAGTGTAGAAAACAAAAGCAGATAAATTCAGATTCTCCAAGTAAAGAATTTGCAGGATTTTTTATTTTTCTGATTTGACTATTTGGGAGAAAATTCTTGATCTCTTCCTTGCTACATATATAAACATAGCCCAAAGATTATCATGGGGTTGAGATAAAAATGGAACATTTTTGACACTTGAGCTGGTAGTCAACCAAGATACGGTGCTAGGTTATGTGTTCAATCCCAATTACAAACAGGTAATAATAACCAGTCTTTACACAGCTACCTTGTTCAATGTTCATGACAACTCCGTAAAATTAGCATCACTATCATTTCCATTTTATAACCAAAGGAACTCAAAGTTAAGCATTTTTCCTAAGATCACTCATTTAGCAAGAGAGAGTGGAAATTTGAATTGTCTTTTGACTTCAAAGCCAATGATCTTTCCCCCATACCACTAAATTTTCAGTCCAACACTGCAAAGCAGAGGTTTGTTCTCTTTAAAGAATCAGAATTAAATGATCAGAATTGTAGGTGTTTGTTCTCCTTAAAGGATCAAAATTTTAGGATATAGACTGATGAGTCTTGACATTTCCTTAATGTAACATGTTAATTCTTTATTTAAGAGAGAACAACTTGTGATTTTCTTCCACTGGTGGGCTACAGAGATAATAAAAATGATAGCAAAGGCTATTAAAATTTATATGGAGACTAGCACAGATTGGAATAACTACAAAGTGATTTCTTAAAGCTGCAATAGAAAGGTGGTGAAATAGCAAAATATGAAAGAAACTCTTCTTTCACTTCAGATGCCTAAATATGCCATCAAAAGACTGCTCAATTCTCAAATGCCAGTATTTTCTGACTCCTCTAGAACCTATTCTTAATGCAAAATATCAAAGTCAGCGGGATAGTAGGTGTCCCAAAATGTCTTAATTCAGAGAATTAGTGTTAACTGAGCCTGATTAGCTCCATTTATCTCTAATTAATTACCTTTATCTAATTAGACACTTTGTTTCCAGTAGACATGGAGTCAAGTAGACTAGATTATTAGTGTAGTCATTGTGCCTTTACAAAATCCTGAAATTAATGAAACGTGCAAAAGAATCTGCAGTTCTAATTGCACAGGTGTTTCCTTATGGCAAAGCTTTATCATCTGATTACACCAAGGGGTTATTAGTGACTTTTTATATAGAGGATGAGCCTATGAAATGTACCTTAGCAACAGCTCATTAGTTTAGGGTTGTTACTGTATTATTTATTACATTCAGCCTTCCCCATTATCTAGATTGATTCATGGACCTACATATTTTTTCCTCTTCTCTGTGCAGAAAAAATAAAATAAAATAAACCATCATTCTGAAGAGTCCAGATGCAATGTGGAAAAATGCAAAATGTGTTCATCAGCTACAATTTGACTCTTTTAAGACAGAAAGCTCTAAAATTAGATGAGATCAGAATCAAATTTATGGGGTTTTTCTATGGAAAAAGAACCAATTTAAATTACTGAGGAGTATGAAATGATTCATATATGTGATAAAAAAAAAAACCAAAACAACCATGTGGCTGTCCCTAATGTCTTCACATAACTGAACAGGCATATCAGGGTATGTGGAAGAAAAAAGCAAAATGTTTTTACACTAAAATACATTTATATTTATTTTCACTTCACGTTTCCAAAACGGGTTAAGGAGACATCTCCACATATGCTCACCCACATTTATTTAAAAAAAATCCATCTCTTGTTTTACTTTTTGCTTTTTTTTCTTAAGGATAGATCTGTTGCCAGATGGGGAAAACTGACAAATTATACAATCTAGCTTCGCTGAAAAAGCAAGATTTCAATGTCTCCTTAGGAAAATGAAAAGTGCTTTTTCATGGCAAGGTTAGGCAACTGCAAAACACTAAAATACCCCAACCTTTGTATTTTCATTTTTTCCCCTCATAACCATTTGAAGAAGCACTGTCCTTCACAATCATAGAGTGTTTAAACAGCTAGAAGTAAATCCAGTCACAATCCTATTCCAGCATACAAACATGTTTATTGACAAAGCAGTAATTCTTTTAAATAATTTGTCAACATAAATATGTCAAATGGGTTTTAAAATCATTTCTCCCTCTGTTCCTCAACAAAAATTCCTCTACTGATATGAGCCATATATTGCTGTTCACTTACTGCTGAATCTAAACTAGTGAAATGATAACGGGTAACTGTTTTATAGAGCATGACAACTAATTTGAGTGGTAATAATGAATATTTAATGATCCTCCTTTCAAGCATGAACATATAACTTTTCATGTATTCCCTACCAAAATTATAACCATTAATCTAAAAATTATAGTTGCAACTGAAATAATAGCCAGGAATTAGATTATAGCCAAGTCGGAATATTGCATAAATATTCTGTACGAACACAAACACGGGGGCACGTAGGAAGCTCCAACCTCCTGTTTTCATGCAATCCAAACCATCTCTTTGAAACGTATGAAAGTTGCATGATTAGTAGAGAAGATATTTGAATCCAGATATAAAAAGGCTATTACTTCTATCAATAAATAAGTACAATAGCCAAGGTCATTTTCACTCTCCACTAGCTCACAATTTCTAAACAAAAATAACATGTATATAAAAATGTTCCCCCTATAGGGGTAATACTTTTAGAATGTCCTATTTTAATCAAGAAAACAGTGAACGTAAAATTTATCAGAAAGGCAGAATTTTTATACTTTAAATTTCATTTTTTTATGTACTTAATTTCCCCAATTATGTCCCTCTACCCAAAACTACAAATGTGACTTTCGAAAAAGAAAGAGCTCTGAAAAATGCACACAATGCTTTAAAATGAGCTTGGTTCACTGATGAAAAAAATTTTGGTTAAATTTCCAAGTTATATCATTCCTAGTTTTCAGTGAGATCTGCATAATTTCATATGCCTGCAATGTTGCAGACAAACACATCTGCCTCCTTTCCTGGTTGGGTTTGCTTTCCTTATTACAGGAAAACCAGTGCTCTTGTGGTCACAAATGTGCAATTCTACATCAAATCCCGGGTCTCTCTATTATTCTTTAATTGTTTTTAAAGGCACATTGTGCATTAAAAAAAAATAAAACCTAAAAATGTGGGAAAGGGTAAGTAAAATCTGTACTTTTTCCCAGTTACGAGACTCTTTATCAGAAACTAACTGCCCGGTTGCCCATACTAGCCTCAGCTCGTCAACACGGTTTTGCCTCTTTAGGAATCTGGCTTACAGGCCAAGGTAGCATGTGTTAGGTCACATTCTCCAAATGTGTACATATTCACGGAACACATTTCTAACTGAGCAGGTGTTCTTGACTAAAGCCAAGGCAAGATCAAACGAGACAAGGAACTCCAAATGTCCCTTGTAAACTGTACAGTGCTTCAGAAATAGAAAATGGTAGCAATCTTAGTAACACTACTTAAGGATACTAAACTCCTGATGATGCTTCATTTGTTCATCTTAGCAGCCTTGCCATTGCCCCTACACAGACATGGCAGTTAGTCAATAAAATCTTTGTCTTTCCTGGGTTCTTGCCTGGCCTTCCATTCTAGATTCCTTCTGATGGAGAAGAATTCCTATTAAAGAATGCACACCAATTCATTATATCTTAGCAGATTTATTT